TTCCAAACCCACGACTGCGCCAGAAACAAGTCAGAAGAAGGAGGAAGGGAGAGGAAGAACGCGCAAGGGAAACGGAGGAGCAAGCATAGAAGTTAGCACACGGAGACGAGGGAGTGGAGAGGAAGCATGCAGGAGCAGGGGGAGGAGAAGCAGAACGAGAGGGAGCAGGAAAAGCTGCAGGAAAAGATGCAGGAGGAGAGGAGGAGAGGAGGAGAGGAGTCTTTGTTCACGAGCTAGGCTGACCTGGGCATAACGGAGGCCTGCAATCACCAGCATGTGATAGCACCAGTTGTCCGCATCGTCCTGCCCGCTGCACACCACGTACAGGAACGGGAGGAAGAGGAGGTACTTGTAGGATCCCATGAACTCCCACGGGAATTCGTAGAGGATGCCAGGTTGAGTTGCTCCTTTGGCCTTTTTCCCCTGCTGGGAAGACATCAGTACGACCCAACGCCCCGGCTCGCTCCCACCCCTCACCTTGACATCTTTCCTGTTCAGCCATCTCCATGCAGACAGGATACGGGCGTCTCCCTTCCACATGGCTGAGACTTTCGACGATCACGAGGAGGCCACGTGTCCTCAATACGCCAGTGGAGCGATGCTGGTGGTCCAACGAGGAGAGACTGCCGGGAGGAGGAAATTTGGCAAGGAAAAGAATGTCAGGACTTGTAGCAGGTGAGCAAGATGTACAACATGGTCATCACGACACAGTGGAGGTAGTAACATATCAACTATTTCTGCTCTGGCCCTGCCACAACTCCCCCTTTCTCTACCCACCGCACTACCACGCGCTCTCTCCGACAGCGGTGACCTCGTGACCACAGGTTTCCGCAAGACCAGAACTTCTTTCCCCTCTCATCCATCTCAGTACTCGTTACTTGTTCCTCTCCTTCGAAGCCCATCTTCTCCTTCTCTTTCTCCTGCACGTCCTGCTCGGACAACCCTCCACCGTTCGCAACAGAAACGGGGCCGCGAAAGCGACGAATAGCCCTATCTCCTCGCCTTGTTGCCTCAGATGTTCGTTGTGCATAACTTCAAACATGTCAACACAACGTTGTATGGCTAAACAACCTCTCCTCTCCTCCTCTTCTCTCATATTCTGCGTCTTTTTCTGTTTTTCGTTCTTTTTCCCTCCGTTTCCCTCCTTGGATCCATCGGGATCTCGAGGGGTCCCCTTTCTCCTAAACCCACCCCTACCCCATGGAAGAATCAATCAAGTACCCCTTCTCAATCCTTTAAGCATGGGAAATCGCTCAGGTGGGTACTTCCACCCCTACCTCCTAGAAAAACAAGACCACCCCCTTCTTTCCCCCATCATTTATAAGGCTGACGACCCACCCCCACCCCCTTCTACCTCTTATTTTGTACCCACCTTGATCACCAGGAACCCCACTCTACTGTACCACCCTACCTTAAGCGATCGCCCCACCCCGAAATCTCATCTGGTCACCCCCGAGACACGGGTATGCACACGAAATAAAACATTTTTCTGGGTGGGTAGGTATCACCCCACCCCACCCATCTCCAATAGATGTGGGGGTCAACTTTGAGTGCGAAGTGAAAAACTTGGGTACTATCTCCCCCCGACGCTCTTGTACCCCCATCATGTCCCTCACCCTACCCCCATCGCCCCATCTCACCCCTGATTTATCACCCCCACCCCATCTCGTGCCTTCGCTCCGTTCCTTGAGTCTTGGCTATCTGGCAGTCAGCACCACCCCATACTACCCCAAAGATTGAATCCCTACCCCTACAATTTATTTACCACCCCTCTAGATAGCACCTCCTGTTGGTGACCACCCCTACCTTTCGAATTTTTTTCATAGGCCTCACCCATCAAAATTTGTATCCCTGCAATGAAAGGTCAATCAAAGTGTAGTACCCCTGGCACCACCACCCCATTTTCTTCACCCTGTACCCCCTTAAATCACTTATTCAGTCGAACTACCCCGGGCCCACAAAGACCGTACCACCCACCCAATCTTCTCCTCATATGTCAGGGTCTTGGGGGTGGGGGTATACCGTACTGACCTAGGGATCCATCACTTGGCTTTATATCACTAGAAGAGTACCCCCACCCCTCAGGCAAATCATCACCCACCCTAAATCGAACAAAACAATATGTAAATTGAGGGTCTAAAGACCCACCCTTGAAATCTGTACCTACCCTTGAAAATTGGGGTACTTGCAGAGGGAAGAGTTGGGGTAGTCGAATTTTCTTTTCTGACGTCTTATATAGTCGAAACCCGCCTCAGATTTCCCAAAGACACTCAGCCTGGCAGCCTGTGACTCGGCACCGGGGTGACGCTGACTCGGAGGCGGTCTATGCGGCCGCGGCGGCACTGCACACTGTTCCGAAGCCAACTTGGCGGCCCACCGTGCACCGAGTCGGCCCGGGCCAGCGGCGCCGGGCCGCCGGACTCCTCATCCGCCTCAGGCTACTATCAGTACCGTCACGGTGGTCCATGATCTCGCCGGCCCGGGCCATGACTCGGCAGTACCGTACGGTGATCAGCTCAGGTCCCCAGGGGCCGCGGCCCGGCCGGCGATTCGGACTCAGTTTGGCTCGCTGGCGGGCCGCACCGCCCGCCCGCCCCGCCGGGGCGCCCGGCCCGCCGCGCGGATGCCGCTGCCAGTGCATCGGGCCGGGCGGCTGCCGATCATCGCACACGGCTCAGTCCTGGCACGGTGGCACCCGGGCCCGCTGCCCGGCGCCCCGCCGCGTTGCCACGGCAGTGCCCTGAATGCCGCACCGTGCGTTACTGGCGCCGGGGTCACTGAGTCACGCCGCATTGAGTGATCGGACGGCGGACCCGGACCCGGCCGCGTCGGATCCGGGCCCGCGTGACTGAAAAGTCAGTTAGTACTGCCCTCAAACAGTTGAGTAAAGAAACAATTCTAAAAGATGAGACCGATAGAAACCGTTTGAATAGGACAAGATGGCATGTTGCCAGGGGCTTGGGCTCGGAGGCGAGGAGCAGGAGCAGGAGCAGGAGCAGGAGCAGGACTCCGAGCCTGCTCCGCGCGGCAGGAGCAGGAGCAGGAGCAGGAGCAGGAGCAGGAGCAGGAGCAGGAGCAGGAGCAGGAGCAGGAGCAGGAGCAGGAGCAGGAGCAGGAGCAGGAGCAGGAGCAGGAGAAGGAGCAGGAGCAGGAGCAGACTCAAACTGAGGAGACAGACCGTCAGGGGTTCAGGATGGGTATACCATGATGATAGCGAGATTGTGGTTGTGGCAACTTCGAGACCCGGAGGTGTTGATGGTCGGCCATGTCAAGATGATTAAATGACGATTGATTGAAGATTTGATGACGAAGATGGAGATGATGGAGTTGATGATGATGATGTCTTCCCTCCTTCATGTCGTATGATCATCAAATCCATCATCATCATCATCATCATCATCCGCATACTGGTCGTCATCAATCATCATCATCCTAAACCTCAATATCCTTCTCCTTGTTCACCGCCGCCGCCGCCACCACCACCACCACCACCTCCTCCTCCTCCTCCTCCACCACCACCATTAGTCATACGTGCTTGTTGGTTCAACACTTAGGGTGAACAGCTCACATCAAACTTCGTTTCTCTGCTTCTTTGTGAAGTTTTCTGATCTCGCTGTCTCACAGACATGGTAACTCGCACGTGACTCCCCGTGGAACGATGAGGAGACAAGTGGCGAAGCTGCTGGCTGCTCCTCTGCTCAGCTGTTGTTACAATCCCGATGCGGGCACTCTCAGGGAGTACGCATCTCCGAACCATGCGCGATCGCCGTGCAGGCCGAGCAGGAGCGAGGAGCGGACGGATGAGCACGTGTTCTTCTGCCCCATCTGCATGTTCTACCTGGACAGGATGCAGAGGACCGTGTGCTGCAGCCATCACATCTGCCAGGACTGCGCCAGGGAGATGCTAGATCGCATACCTGCCTTCAGGGCAGACTACGACCAGTCTAAGATCGAGCGGGAGATCTCCTGCCCCTACTGCGGTCAAGAGAACCTGAGGCTCTCGACCGTCAGCAAGGAGACGAACGTGCGCAGGTGTGTGGTGTGAAGAGACTCGACGAGACTGAGTGACTTGCTGCCTGCTGCTAGTTATGACGACTCTCCCATGCACGAGCTCAACGCCCGCATGCTGGAGATACAGAGCTCGACCTTGTCGCCCCTGAGAGTGAGAAGAGGTGGATGTGTCGAGCGATGAGGTGAGGGAGTCGCAGGTGGGCGACGACTACAACGCCATGATCAAGAAGATGCTCACGTTTGACAAGTGCGGCATTAACATCGCCAGAAGTGATGCCACCCTACAGGTCCACTTCTCCTTCCCTCCTTCCCTCCCCGCCCCCCCCTCTCTCCCTCTCCCTCTCCCTCTCCCTCCCTCTT